CCTACGAGAGAGGAGGAGGCATTATTTTCATAAACGGAAAAACTTAAAAAGAATACTTCAAGGCCTACAAATTTGAGATACGCCTTGCTACGCATACACCCTTTCAGGGCTTACCAGTCAAGTATATACAAGCAACTTCCATAATTTGCTATAACTAATATCATCCACTATTTTACACCTCTGTTCATTCTTATTTCTTTTAACATAGAAGATATCACTCAGTTGACAATAAGGAAAAGTTTACCTGCGTGGAGTCCTTAGAGGTTGACTGATCAGACAATGTAGATTGATTTTGTTCCTTCTCATTTCCACTGATACCAGGAGGAGGCGGCTGTGCTAACTGTTGATGAGGTGGAGGAGGGGGAAGTAATGGGCGATTAGAAATCGGCTCTGTAGGCAGGGGTCCTGGAGGTGGAGGTGGAGGTGGTGGCAAAGGTGGTGGTGGCAATGAGATATCTGGGTTTGTAGCTGCAGGGTTAGGCGGCAATGGAGGTGGAGGGGGTAGAGGCAAAGACTCAGGTATGACAGAGCCATCACCAGGGCCATTGTTACCAGAATCAGCCACAGGTACAGCATCCTCTGACTCCATTCTTGAGGATGATGCAGCACCACTTGACGAAGCAGCAGATAGGGGAATTCTTGGCCCTGCAATTCAAATTCCAGAATAGAATAAGCGAGAGAAAGTAAAGTGGTCACATTACTACACAAAATTGAGGTGGGAGTGGGGTTGATCCAGACCTATTGATGATTTAAACATTGGAGGCTTTCCAGGTGGTGGGGCACCAGTAGGATTCAGGGTCGGATGGTAGTAAACTGAGTCCTGCAGAAGAAAAAAGAAGAAATGAATTTTGGGTTTTATATATTGAAAAAGAAAAAGAAAGGCCTGAAAATAGCATTTAGAAACCTGCATATCTTACCTCAGGCATTGGATGCTTCGCTCTCTCCTCTTCTTCTGCAGTCGTTCGTCTTTTAGGCGGCCCCAAATGACTGACCAGAAAAAGTAACTAAAGTTCATACATCAAAACAAACAATCACAGAAAATGCATTTAAGAAGTTGACCACTAGCACCAGAATACAATGGGAAAAGAGAATGGTCACCTGAACATAACTGGGACCTCGCCCTTTTCCTTTTGTTTCTCTACATATTCCTGTACAAATTCGTCTGATCATTGCATGTATGAAACTTATTCCAACAAAAAGGCACATGGGATTAACATGAAGGGAACATAGAGGACCCTGAACCACAATGTGGCCAATCAAAGATCACAGTGCAGCATCAGAAAACAACATGGCTAGTTGAATTAGAAAGACAAATAGGTATAATGAAAAAAACAATAATGTTATATGTGACAATTACCTTCTGCTTCTTTATAACAAGGTTAAGTGTATCCTCCAGTTGCCTCTTCTTGTGTTTTCTTGCTTTGTCAAGAGCGCCATCAGCCTCTGCGCCAATCAGTCAAATACATCAGTGTGTGAACAGGAAAAGCAGCATGATATGGCTGCAGATCAAAATCAAACTAGTGAAAATAAAAAATCTAGACAAATTGAAGCAAGAAGTAAGGCACAATAAAGCACAAAATGAAATTTTCCTCTTAAGAAAAAAAATCATTCTTTTATACATGAATACTATTCCGAGCATTCAAACAATCAACTTTCAATGAAATTAAACATAAAAATAGATCCACTATTATATATATAACAGCTATAAGTTATAACCATTCCTTCTATAAAAAGGCTATAACCAGAAGTCATAAGTAAACTGTGACTTACTCATCATTTCCAGCTTATCAATCTGCTCCTTCAGAGTCTCAGGATCCTTCTTCAAGATCCCCACCTCTCTCACCTTCTTTCGTTCTTTTTTATTCTGTTGTCATAGATAAAACAAAGTCAGAAATGTAGAAATAAAGATTTAATCGATGCAATACGCTTGTCAAGAACAAAAGAAACGGTATTAAAGGGAGTACTTTTTGGGAATTGCATACATCATACGGTGAAAGGAAACATGTACGTCACTAAACACGGGTAACATCTACCATCGAAGATGAGGAGGCACAAACACATGCTACCACAAATTCTTAGCAGAAGAAACTCACAAACGTCAGGTAATACTGATTCAGCATCATGGTCATGCGTCTGCTTTCCAAAAACGTCAGTGTGCGCGCACACACACACAGATATATATATATATATATATATATATATATATATATATATATATATATATATATATCTTTCTCGACCTTTCGGCTAAGATCAAAGTGTGTGCAGCTGTGCAAAATGCCTGATATAAAAGCATCAGGCTTTCAGGTTTTCACAAACCTAATGCTATCAATTCCATTTACAATAAACCAAGGTCGGCTTCAGTAACGCTCAGCAATGGGAAATTTGCAGATGCCAAAATCCAATCCGGAGTAAATTACAATAAAAAAGTATCAAATTTCAAATTGAAATTGAAATTAGACACAATGGAGTCCCAAATTGTGAAAATCGATCGACCCAATTGCGAATTGAGAACGGAATCAAGGAATTAACAGAAGAAGAAGAGCACAAAACGGCGTAGTATTGAGATACGTAATCGTTACCCTTTTCAATTCCTTCTTCCGGAGCTCCTTCCGGTAAGCGTCCGTAGGGTTCATCACCTTCCCTCCCTTCGTCGTCTTCATCTTGATTTCGCTTCAAAGCTCTTCCCTTTCTGCTGATTCCAATTCGAATTTCAGGAAATCTGCTTCAAATTCAAATTACAGTGCGAAGCGTGGATGATGACAGAAGAATATTTTGGGTATTTCTTGCTCTGAAGAGTGATGGATGAAACCCCGACGACTCCCCCCAAACCCCACCTTGCTTTTTGTCGATTTTCTTTTGAGAAATTATCATTTATAGCCAAAATTTATGTCTTAAATTCAAAATTGTCAGCTTTTATAAAAGTATCATTTATAACCAAAATCTCACATCAATATACCAAATTACCCTTAAAATGTAAAACAAACGCCAAAGAGATTCTCTTTGTGTTCTTTTTCATTTTAGGGTTTTATTATTAGGAAAACTAATGAAAATGACTTGAAAACTTTGAGTTTTATCGATAAGGACAAAATAAAGGGTAAAGTGAATAGTACCAGGATTGACTTTTTAGTGTAAAAATCTAGTTTTTCGTTAAAGTGAACAGTACATGGAGTTTTTCGATAAAGTTCCCTTAATTATTTTCATATCTCAATTCGAATCCAAAAAGATAGAAAGAGGAGCCTGATGAAATTAAACATTTAATAAAGAGGTATTTATTCTAATGGAAATTAAGTCAATCAAATTATCAAATTTCATTTCTTAATTTACAAGCCTACAACGAAGATCATGATAAAAATTTCACATAACTACAATTTTTGAATATTCTTGTGTGATAATTAATTGATATTTCTTAGAAAATTTTGCTAGAACTATTAACTTATGGATATTTTTTAAATAGTATTCGGCAGGTAATTTTTTTATGAAACGGCGATTGCATGTTCTTATGCATTCTGCATATGATCTCTTTAAGTAGAGGGTTGCCCAAATTAGGCATTTAATTAAGGGAAATTGAGCATAATATGCACAACCGGTAAATCAATTTTAATATGGATCTGTAAAAGGCAAAAAGAAAAAGAGGGAGGCGGAGGAAGGTCTTTGCAGCAAATCACTCCAGACAAGTGCATTGGAAGATGAGAATATTTTAGATCGATTTTATGATGATTGGCTTCTTCTGTGAGGAGAATCATATATATGACGATTCAAATCCAAAGTCTAAGAAAATTGATGTTGTTGCTTCTGGATCCCAATATGGCAGCAATGTTATTGGGGAACAACGATGCTTAATTAGCTTTTGGTTTTGGTTTTATGTGTAATTAAGTTTTAATTTTGAGAGTAATTGGGTCTATTCAAGTGAATTTTTGGCTATATTTGAATTGTTTTATAAAAACTGACATTAATGAATTTGTGTGCTAATTTTTGGCTATAAATGATAAATACCCTTTTCTTTTGGAGGCACCTTTTTATTTGTAGAATTAAAATTAGAGTTAATTACAAATTTGGTCTCCGAATTTAAGAGGCTTGTTCCACTTTGGTCCTCAAAAGTTTTTTGGTTTCTTTGAAAAAAAAAATTTGGTCTCAAGTTGGATTTCAAGAAATTTGTTGAAAAAAAACTTTCATAGTGGTTTAAGTAAGTTTGATTCCTATAACATAATTATTATTCGTTACGAACCCTACGAACACTTACAATGGTATGAATTTGATAGTAGCAAGTTCTACATATTAATCGTAAAACTCGTCTAATATTTTGGCTAATGTAAGCGTTAGATTCTTATAAAATGGAAATCAAACTCTTTTTTCATGCCTACTGTGAAAGGCTTACAAACAATAGTGATGCTAATTACGAAAACTGACAGAATCAATCGTGCATAATTTAATTTGATTTTTTATTTATTCATTTGAACTGACAACGATGTTTTTTGTTAACACATGAAACTTTCCACACTGACACCAAATAATCGTATCCTTTTTTTTAAGTGTATACGTATCAATAAAAGTTTACGCACTTATTTTCACGTGTCACTTTTTTTTTTTTTCTGGAATAGTTCATGTGTACGATAGGCCAAATCGGATTAATGGTCCTCTAGTTGTGAAATCCATTTTTCAAATCCAAAATTGAAAGTTCTGTTAATTCTTCTATTAACAAACCGCACATGAGCCTCACATAAACACATTATATATGATCATCACAGAGAAATTAAGTTGCTAATCCGATCGGACGAAAGTCGAAGCTGCAGCTTGGGATGCTAAAACCATCTGGGATTCGAAAATTTGACAATGTGGTTGTGTGACAAATGCGCATAGGTGTTTGAAATGCAGCAGGAGAGAATAGCTATGTGTTGCTACTGGATCCATCAACATCCTGCAAGGATATAAAGCACTCAAATTATCACAGGAATCTGATATGTTACGCAGGTTTTGTCCCAAAGACAACAAAAATATCACTAGTTTGGCACAGAACATAGCAGTCGTCGGATTACCCGACCGTAGAAACTTCGTGTCCGAAAGAACAAAGCCCAGGCAGTGAGAGATCCGAAGACGGTAGCACATGCCATAATAAGGAATGATAACCTAAAGCAGCGAATTCCGGCGCATGTATCCCAAGCTCCCGACGCTTCTTGGTCATAAAAATGGCCGATCACTCTCACAGAAAAGATATAAGATCCTACAGGCGCGGCTATTGTAATGGCGTTGAATATGGTGCCCATATGTAGCACGCCGAATATCTCAGAAGCGATTGTGGGCATTAGTGACCATTGAGAACCATAAAAGACGCCCACCAGTAAGGATCCAGCATAAAGAGCGCTAGGCATACCGGAAGCAATCACTACGTGACCAACGCTCATGCCTGCTAGAGTGATGACCATGAACAATGGCCTCGCCAATCCTTTCGCATGCAGGAAATAATCTGATACATAACCAGCTCCAAACCGCCCGACGAAATTCCAGATGCTCCACAAAGAAATCAAACTACCTGTTTCAAAGGTTGAGTAACCAAGCGATTTTCCTATCTGGTTGAGGTTATTCACTGTGGCAAGTCCCGATCCCATTCCACATGCCATGGCAATGAACAAAATCCAGAAGTCCATAGTGCACATAGCTTGGAGTAGATTAAAAGTTTCTCCCAACTGCAAAGTATTTTCATCGTTAATATCCAACTCTTGATCAGTATTGCTAGGCAAATGACGGTACCCAGAACTACGATCTTGCGCATTCCTTTTCCCACTATCTCGCCAGTTGACCTCGGTATCTGTTAACTGGCCACCCTCAACTAATAAAGTCTGTGAAACTCTATCAGACTCCCTTTTATGCGCTCTAATCGCAATGCAAAGAGGTGAGGCAAGCAGTAGCAGAAGTGCAACAAAAGCAACGAAGCGTATGGCAAACCGCAAAGTAAGGATGTTCTCTAAAATTATAAACCCCATAAGATAAGCTGCAACAACAAGCGCAATCAGCGACAAACTATTTAGGTGCTTCTTCTCGTCTCCTTCGCACTTGTTGTGGATTCTCACAAACCACATAAGCAACAATGTGTTTACGGTAGGTAGCAGTGCCAGCATCAGAAGAAATGAAGCCGGTTTCTTGTGCAAAAATGTCCGGTATATTTGAATCAAGATTGCTCCACTCAGACCGAGAAACCCCTAACACGGAAAATATAAAGTTCTCATCAGCATCAAGTCCATGAATTTAAATCACAAAGTACTCAAGAAGGGACTGAATCTGACATGGTAACCGGGATTGAATCAATATAAGATTCGTCAGCATCAGAAGAAATGAGGCTCAGGTAAAAAATTTATGCTTACCATGTCACAACAGGAAATATAAGAGGACTTTCTTCCCTCCTAATCTCTCTCCCTTTCCCTCCCCTCCTATTTGAATGGTTACGGTTTAGCCACGTCTACATTTTGTATTGATTTTTTTTATAGAGACAATAAGACATAAAGCAATATGTGAGAGGATGAGAGGGAAGGGGATGAGAATAGAAGGGGAGAGAATCCTTCTCCAAAAATATAAACTGAATCAGAAAAGATCATGACCAATCAAGAAGGGGCGCATCTGACATGTCCCGTTAAGAAAATTGGTCTCTGTGAGTTCGAAGAAGTGAGCCACATCAGGTCCAGCAGGAAAAGAGGAAGCGGAGGAGGAAGTTTGGGCCGCTACAGAAGCCATTGGAGAAGTATAGAAGGGGGGTTTTACTAACCTTAACTCGTTGATACCATACAGAAAATATAAACTAAATAATTTTATATATAGCACAATGGTTTTTATATACAGACGTATATGCTTGGTATACAAGTAAGAATCTCTTCTTATACAAGAATACAATCGAAATTACATTACAATATTAATTTTTAAACTTTAGCTATGGTTTTCTTAGACAAGACTCCTTCTCCAACAGTCACAAAATTGAAAATGAGGAAACATAACGGGGTAAAAATTTCATAAAAAATATTCTAGAATCCAAAAGTTTTCTTTTGCAACATCAACCCAAATGCCTCGATAATTAATCGAATTTGTATATAAAGTAATTTAAATTTACAAAACAAGAAAACGAGTTAAAGTTCTTCAATATTACATAGCATTAATAATACGAAAAATGAATGACTGAGATTGAAATAGAAGATTTAAACAGCTGTGATCAAAATCTAATGGCTAAATCACTCCTAGCTACCTCTATAATCTAAGTTGGTCATAAGAAACATCAGCACAAATAAAGGAAAGCAATCAAATTTATTTTATGTACCTTCATGATGCCAACGATGGTGCCTTTATAATAAGGAAAATTCCTGACGCCAGTGACCACATTAGAGGTATTAAAGAACGACACCGCATGAGCCGCCACGAACATGAACAGACACATCACAGGCACCGAAGGCCGGGGAATAACGCCGGCTACGGCGGCCCACATTAGAAAATAACCCAAAAAGCACTGGGCCGCCCCGGCCAGGAGGACCAACCAGAGCTTTCGCCACCTGGCGGAGTACGAGTAGAGGAGGCCAGAGAGGACGCCACAGTTGGCTCCGAAGTCCTTGAAGACAGAGACGGTGTCGAGCGTTGACTGGTCGTAGCCCTGCGTTGTCTTGATGGCCTGAGAGTAGACGGAGAAGGTGTAGAGGGAGCCGCTGGTGCACTGTATCCATATGCTCGCCGCCGTAGAGAACCATTTGCTGTCCAAGAGATTCAGTGAACTGCCGTACATTTTTGCTTTCTTTTCGTTTGGGGACGATGGAGGGAGACGGTGAACTCTGCCGCATCATGATCGTGTCGATTTGTTGGTTGGCGGAGTGGCGGTTGATGGTGGTGGTCGTTTTGGCGCTTTGTGTGATGTGTGGGTAGTTTACATTGCTTTTGTGTCCACGTGTTTTCTTGACTCATTATGATTTAGGCAAACATTTTAGGTGTATATGTATTGATATTTTAATGATTTGGTTCATATTAAGAAATTAAATTTGTAGATAAAATTTTGAAAACTAAATAACATGAAAATTAATGATTAGTTTATTATTAAGGACTGATCAACATGCTTATTTTTATTGGTGACAAATAATTTAATTTGCAAATTTTATCTCCCGATTTAATCTTCCTAACACTATAGTTTAATGATTAGATGTTGATTATTCAACTATTGGTTTACAGTAAAAAATTTTGGTGTATAAGATATTCGAAACATCCGAAAAAATAACATTAGAGGCACATGCAATAATTCATTAAGTTATATATATATATATTTTTTTTTTTTTTTTTTTAAGTGTGCAGCATGTGTGAACTTATCTGCATTTATTTTCCGTCGTAAATATAGCACGTATTGCAGAAACTTTCTAATCCATTCTTAGAAATCAAACTTCAAACTTCTTATTTATAAGTTGAGATGAATTTTATTAAACCGTATTACTGTGGCCAAATTTCATTTCAATTGCTCATAAAATATATACGCATCAAGGCAAAGACATCATGAGCCAAAAGATCAAAAGACTTTACTGCAAGTCTTCCTGTCACTTGTGCCGTGAGCACAAAATCTCTGCTTGTGATTGTTTAAACTGTACTTTGCGTATTTTGATAAGAATCTCTGTGCTTCCTAGTTACACGTTCATTGAACTTGTATACACGTTGTACCTTATTAGGGTTGTTTTCAATACCATCTGCAGTGTAAGACATATTTTTAAACTTTCACATGCAGGACAACTTGCTATGATACCATGAAAAAAGTTGGGGTTCTATAAAATCAATTGGCAATACAAGGAGTAGTTCGCTGCAAGCCCGCCTGCACACCTCTTGCTGCCAAAGTTGCTCTTATTGCTACTGATGGTTCCTTACTTGTTTCTAGAACATCATTTCATAGATCACCGTCGCTCAGTACATGAGTTCTTCCCGTGCTACTATGTTGATTGCTGTTAAGCGCATTTTACATTATGTCAAAGTTAATCTTGATTTCGGCCTCCATCTTCGCCCACATTTTTTCTGCTACTTTGTCTGCTTACTTTGGTGCCGATTGTGTGTCTTGACACACGACGATCAACCATTGCCTGTTTTATCCACCTTGGATCCAATCTCATTTTGTGGTGTTCTAAAAAGCAATCTATTGTGTCTCGCTTCAGTGCGGAATATGAGTATCGCTCACTTGCGCATGCATGTGTTGAAACAACTTGACTTTGTTTTTTACTTGGTGAGTTTGGTGTTTGTCTTTCTTTTCTCGTCCTGCTCCACTGTGATAATCTTAGTGGCACCTACTTAGCTGCTAATCTTGTTCATAATGCTCACACTCGTCATATTGAGCTTGATTATCACATTGTTCATGAAAAAAGTAGCTCTCAACAGTCATAGGATGGGCTATATATATATTTCGCTGATCAACCTGATGGTCTCCTCACAAAAGTTCATCAACCTCGTCATTGTCAACTCTCTACTCCAAACTTGTCCGGTCAAGCTCGTCTAGCTTGCCGAGGGTGGATGGGTGGGGGTGTTAGATTAAGTTAACTAACTCGGAATCATCTCTGTGATTCTCCCATATATCATAGGAATGTAATTTTTCATTGTAATGAGTCTAGGATTATTTCTACCTAATTAGGAATTGGTATAACCCTATATATTGTAATATCTAGGGCCATAGCAAATCCTAATACAAGGAGTCATATTTCTACCCAAACACGTATAAATTTTATTTCACATTGTATTTTAACAATCTAAATTGATCGTTTTTAGAAATTCCTTCAAAGATCAAATATAAATTCAAAAGCATTTAATCATTTGATAACTTGATTGTCATTTTAGTGTTTTCTTAAAATACCTTGTAATAAATTATGTGTGTTTTAATTTGTATGCGTGCATAATTTACTTAGAAAATCTTCACGATGATATCCATATTGCATGAAAGTTATTCTCTGTACAAAATGCTCACATTCACTCACTATCTCGGAGAAGAATGCTGCAGTCTTTTCATCACGATCGAGTGATAGAATCTCCTCGTCCGAAAGAACAAGGCAAGAGCAACAAGAAACCCAAAGAAAGCAACAGAAGCCATGATAAAAAAAGACAGCATGAAGCAGCGAGTGCCGCTGCAGGAGTTATCATCTTCTCCGGAAGCTTCTCTATCATATATGAACCCGATTACTCTGACGGAGAAAATATAAGAACCAACAGGACTGGCTATGGCTATTGTGTTGAAAATAGTCCCCATGTGTCTTATCCCAAAGATCTCAGAAGTGATTGTGGGCATAAGTGACCACTGTGAGCCATAGCAAATCCCAACTAAGATTGAACCCACGTACAAATTCCCCGAAAAACTAGATGCAATCACAATGTGGCCGGCTGCCATGATTGCTAGGGTGACAGCCATCAGAAATGGCCTTGCCCATCCTTTCTTATGCAGCAAGTAATCCGAGAGAAACCCGGCTCCAAACCGGCCTAGAAAATTCCATATGCTCCACAGAGAAACCAAGGAATTGATCTCAACTGTTTTGTAGCCAAGAGATTCCCCAATTTGGCTCATGTTGTTTATGGTGGCCAATCCAGACCCCATCCCACATACCATAGCAATAAACAGCAACCAAAAATCGACACAACGCGTAGCTCTCAATAGATTCATATCTTCATGATCTGATACATGAAGTTCAGAGGATGCTGAAACTGGCTCAGGGTTTTCTGGCAAAGGATCATCGAGTGCCTCAAGGAGTTTCTTGGGTTGCAAGTTTTGGGCTTTGAATGCGATTCCGAGGGGCGAGGCGATTAAAGCAAGAAGAAGTGCTGTGAATGTGAGAATGCTCGCCCATGATGGGAAAGTGAGGATGTTTTGGAATATGATTAAGACCATGAGATAAGCAGAAGTGATGAGAGCAAAAGCAGAGAAGATGTTTAAGTACTTTTTGTCAGAAGCAGCTCCACCAGCTTCATAGATTCTGACCAAAGGCATGCAGAGGATGGTGACAGACGTGGGAAACAAGGCCAGCAGGAGAAGGAAAGCGCTGGGGTTGCCTTTGCAGAATGTGTCATAGACTTGGACAAGAAGTGCTGAACTCAGACCAAGAAATCCCTGCCCGAAACACATAAGTATGTTCATAGCTAAGCCATTGTGATTTAAAATAATAAGTCGAAAATAGTGTTACACTATGTTTGGATGAAGAAAGTTAAAATTACTAATGAATTTTAGACAATGGAAATTGAAATTGCGGGATTTTATTTTCTAGAATTTGTGAAATTTTTTTCTTGGTTAACCTATGTTTGGATGAAGAAATTTAAGATTATTAAAGAATTTTAAAATGATGCAAATTGAAATGAGGGGATTTTATTTTTTAGAATTTATGAATTTTCTTATTTGGTTAACCTAAAAGAACAATGAAATTGAATACGGAATTTGTTATTTTTAAATCATCAATCATAAATTGGGAAATGATACCTAGTTACATAAAATTTAAACATGGGAATTGGAGGTCCCAAATTCCAAGTTTTTTTTTCCACGCATAAATTCTAAATTTCTATGTTTATAAATCCAAACAAAAGAATTAATGCATGTCAATTTATAAATTCTGATTTTTACCCAAATTCCAAGTTTATTTCCCTCATCCAAACATAGTTAAAAGAACAATGAAATTGAATACGAAATTTGTTATTTTTAAACTCTCAATCGTAGAAATTGGGAAATGATATGGAATTTAAACTTGGGAATTGGAGGTCCTAAATTCCAAGTTTTTTTTTAAGGAAAACTAATGAAAAGAGCTTGAAAACTTTGAATTTTAATGATAAGGACAAAATAAAGGTTAAACTGAATAGTACCAGGTTTGACTTTTTAGTGTAAAAATGTGGTTTTTCGTTAAAGTGAACAGTACCGTAGGCTTTTCGTTAAAACTCCCTTTTTTATGCGGAAATTCTAGATTTCTATTTTATGAATCCAAATAAGGGAGTTGGTGCATGTCAATCTATAAATTCTGACTGTTATCCAATATACAAGTTTATTTCCCTCAGCCAAACAGTGTAAGAGTCATTTCATTAGCCGGAAAATGATATGGTTTCTTTAACAAGGCAACAAACTCGATTGTAATGTAATGATCACATTATTCTTCTCAACTTCTCAACTGACCTTTTTTTGTTTTTTTTTTAACAGCTCAACTGACTTTATGCTCATACGCAAACTATGTTTTTATAATGCAGAAGTGCTATTTAATTTGTAAATTATTTAGTTATTCATGCATCAAACAAATATACAATAACAAAGAGAATGAACGATTTTGATTAAATAATTCTCAGTGAAAGATGGATGACTCTTTATATGAAGTCAAATATTATTCATTTCTAATGGAAAAGGATCCTCTCCTAAGAATCAAAGGGATTATGTGATTATGATCGTTCATCGTACATCGTGCAGTCAGTTTCGTTAAGTACCATTGATATTTAATTTTAAATTTACAATGATTTCTGACCACATAATATACGATGAATGATCGTGATCACAGGATTCCCAAATTCTTGGGAAAAGAATTCGGCGATGATCGTTTTCCGTTTCTAACCTTCAGTATGCCAACGATGGTCCCACTGTAATCAGAGAAATTGTTGACCCCGGTGACCACGTTGGCGGTGCTGAAGAAAGTCTGAGAGTGGGCAGCCAAGAACATGAACAAACACACAACCGCCACCTGCGGAGTCTCTACCAATCCGGTGACGGCAGCCCAAAGGAAGAAGTACCCCACGAAGCACTGAAGAGCCCCCGCCACGAGCACCACCCACGGCCCACCAATCCGGCGACCGTTGAATGCGACCACGGAGTACAGAATCCCCGAGAGGACGCCGGCGTTGGCACCTATGTCCTTGAAGACGGACACCATGTCGAGCGTCGATTGATCGTAGCCCTGGCTCGACTTGAGCGCAGAGGAATATATGCCGAAGGCGTAGGAAGCGCCTCCAGCGCACTGAATCCATATACTTGCCGCCGTGGCTTTCCACTTGCTGCTGCTCAGCATCTCCATCGCTGCCATTTTTAGTTTGCAGACTTGCAGTTGTTTTAAGGTGTATATATTGAGGAAATGAAATCTGTTTTCTTTTTTCTTTTACGATATTCATGTTTTTATACATCTTAAGTGGTATCTGATGTGGATAGTTACATCATTTAAAAAATTTGCAAAATCTAAGGAAATGAAGGAGAAAGACTCATCATATATTACAATCATCATTTAATTAACTAGTTTGTCTTAATTATTAATTTATTAAATAATGAACTAAATTTAAATTTTTGATTAATTCAAATGATGTGGCTGTCAACATCAAATGTCACCTAAAATGATATGAAAATATGGTACAAAAACAAGCCACAAGTCTGCTGTCCCCAAAATATATGTCTCCTTCATGTCTCTTATTTAATATTACGACACCTGTCCAACACTTAATAGATAATTACCACTGTTAAATCTTTTTTTTATTGGTTTGAACGTTTAAGTCCTCTCTTCTGAAGGCACCCACTGGTACCAGAACCATTCCGATGGACTCATCCTCCATATCTTCCGGCCGCCTTGTTCTTCATATCATCAACAAAGCAGTGTTGTGTTTATATACCTATGTGACCCCACCTACTCCTCCACACCTCACCGCTGCCAGCGAGGGCCCACAATTCAAAACGACGATTTCGATTCAGATGGCTTGGCCACCAGCTGCAAGCACATGCCACCAGGAACGTCCACTCTGCTAATCTCAACTAATTTGTCAAAACAAGTCATTGTATCTTTCAATATTTCAATTTCAAACTCGTTTTATCTCTCCATCAATCAATTTTTCGGTTATCGTTAATCTCTCTCAAGCAACACAAATTTTCGTGAATTGGAAGGGAATAAAAAATTTTGTTATCATAATTGACATAAAATTAAGATGCAATCAGTCAAGCAACTCAGGATGGGTTGGGTCAACTGGAAAGATTGGAAACATTCTGTTTGAATCCGAAATTGTAGAATTTGAGTTTCCAATATATATCAATTTCTTAAGGAGACGGCAAGAATGAAAACTGAAAAAACGGTTTTTCTCTAACCCATGGTTGCAAACGAAGAAATAACAGAGGAGGAGGTTTGTTAAGGGGACTTAACAGTGTTAATTCTCTGTTAAGTGTTGGACAGGTGTCGCAAAATTACCGAAGAGACACCAAGGAGACATATTTTGGGGATAGCAGACCCATGGCCACAAAAACATGGTATGAATAATATTACTCTTCTTTTATTTAAAGTTTTTGGAGTAATGTTATTCATATCATGTTTTTATACCACATTTCTATACTACCTTAAGTGGCATCTGATGTAGACAACCACATCATTTAAAAAATTTGCAAAACCCAAGGAAATGAAAAAGAATGACTCTTCGTATACTACAATCATCATTTAATTAACTAGTTTTTCTTAATTATTAGTTTATTAAATAATGAACTAAATTTAAAAATCTGATCATTTCAAATGATATGGCTGTCCACATCAAATGTCACCTAATGTGGTATGAAAATGTGGTACAAAAACATGATATGAATAACATTACTCAAGTTGTTGGGTTCCCATTTGGCGGGGTCGATAGTAATTGCGAATTTCCGCGTTTGATCTGTAATAAACATCAATTTTCAAGATTTGGTATCGGGACAACCTAATTTCAGTTCTTTTCTTGTGAAAAATGGTTGTAAGATTGACATAACTTTTTATTTTGGTTTTTGGCATTGAAAATCGATAGAAGTGGTTTATAAGTATGTCCACCATCAATCATTTTGGTCATTCCGTAAAATCTCCGTTAAATTGAGAGTAGTTTTGTCCCATAATCCCATAATCCCTCCACTTGCTTTTCATTTAGCCGATCGATTTTAATGTTAGGGACCAACATGAAGAGTTATATCAATTTCAGATATCATTTTAACTAAAAAGTCATTTTGCTTTCTTATTAAATGCAACAAAGGTACATCCTAATATTTTATTGAAGGTTGGGATCTCTTAGTGTATTATTTTTACGTGTTATGAGAAATGTGGACGACATAATTAATAGGTCTTACTCCTAAGAAACAAATGAAATTTACGTGTTATAATTTAGTGAAGTGGTAACATTACATAAATGTGTTATGATTAAACAAAAAGTTGCTTCATATAAATAAGGATATTAGAGCATCTCCAAAAGAAATATCAAAATCCTAGATGGAATGTCATTGTGTATATTTGATATCAAAAGTCTTTTTAACTGAAATGTTATTTGCTGATTGGATTTGAAGACTTTGTGGTTTGGAGTCAAATTTGACATTAATGTCAAATTTATTTTTAATTCATTATAATAGTGAGTCCCTCATTCCACTAACATTTTAACCAATAAAAATTTTGTTTCAACATTTTTTTAATAATTACAATCATTTAAAGTTCTGTTTAAATAATAAAATAACATTTCACAATTCAGTAGGAAAACTGTAAAATTTGGCATAAGACTTCAGATTGTCGTATCAACCATCAATTGTAATTTGACTCTTATAATTTGATATTTCCTTTAAAGATGATATGTTTAAATAATAAATTGTAATTTATTATAAAGCTACTCCACTTGCGACTTAAAGCTAGTGAAGGACGATACACTTTCTGGTTTGCTCTTTCTTTATGTTATCTTATGTTGTAATTAACTCTAAAACGACGGGTGGAAAGGATGAAAATATAATTAAACACAATTGCACGCCTGTATATATATATATATATGTTATTTATTATAATATATAATATAAGCAGGTGGGGAAGATTTGATTCTAACAATCATGATTTTATTTAGGTTTAACAAGGGTTTTTATATCAATACCCCACAAAATGTTGAATGCACCCCATATTAAAATTTAATATTAAATGATTTATTTACTCCACTATGCAATGACAATTTTAGATTTAAAAAAATAAAAATTTATAAGTACACCCCAAATCATTTTTAGAGTATTATTTATCTTCTCAACTATCAAAACTCTCTCATTCTCATCCTCCATTGTTGAACAAAACCCTAATCAATGAAACTACAAACATGTTGATTGAGAAAAATTGTTTTTGACAAATGGAACACGAAATCGATGTTTCTGAAGCTTCACATGAGGTAAGACTTCACATTTTTCATTGTTTTAGTGATTTCGATGACATCTATAATTATTTAATCTTGCGTTTGCTGCACTATTTAAACTTCTATGTTCATATTCATCTTTTAGGGTTCATATTAATTTTGCGTACCCAGTAACATGAGTCGTATTAGTACTAGAGTCATATACTACTTTTACAAATTGAGGATAGCCATTCTCCACATGAACTCCTACTCTCAATCTTTAGCCGTTTGATTGACGTACGTTTCTCATCGCAAGTTTTTCTTTCATTTTTCTTCTTCTTTTCTTGTCACTGGGAGATGATCAGTGGAAAATGAGGAGAGACATGACATGTATTTAAAGAAATCTAATACCGATTTAGTTTTGATTTATTAATTAACTTTGTTGATGCACAAAACCGGAGGTCTTGGAACAACGTAAATCCAACCGTGAATCTGCAAGAAACGTAAATAACACAAGATGTATCGTGGTTCACCCCAAGATTTGGGCTACGTCCACACTGATTGTATTTATCTGAGAGTATTTGTGAGGGAGAGAGTGTGAGAGCTTTGCTCTAGATAGGAGAGGCTTCCCGTTTTTGAGGGTGAGGAGGCTCTTTTATAAAATAAGGGCTCCTCCCTTAATTACATATTTGCCCCTTCCTTTATTACATAATTACATTTAAGTCCCTTGAATATTTATACGAGGTCTAAATACGAGGCCCTAAATATGGTATAAATAGTAGTCCTCTAAGTCTTCAGTCAAGATAGTCTTTTAGCTGCAGACTTGAAATTCAGTCCATGTGTGGGCCGAAGTAACTAGATGCTGTCTTGAACTGATGCTCGATATGAGGCAGTGCTCAATCTAAAATGACGCTCAACTAGAAATAGCACACGCTGCTCGGCTCGTGGCTTATGTTGCCTTGGTTGGCTCGGCTTGCGGCGTTTAAAGGTGAGGGAGTCCCTTTTATAGAATAAGGGCTCGCTCCTCAATACATGAATGATGGGCTAGAGTTGATGCTCTCTAATGATGGTGAAGGAGTCCCTTTTATAGAATAAGGGCTCGTTCCTCAATACATAAATGATGGGCTAAAGTTGATGCTCGCGGCGATACGGTTGCTCAATAGGCGGCGATGCTCTCTAATGATGGTGAGGGAGTCTCTTTTATAAAATAAGGGCTCGCTCCTCAATACATAAGTGATGGGCTAAGTCCCTCAAGTATTTTTCATGAGTGCTCTCTAATGAAAGTGAGGGAGTCCCTTTTATAATAAGGGCTCGCTCCTCAATACATGAATAATGGGTTAAGTCATTCGAGTACTTTTCATGAGGCCCAGTTGAGGCCCAATATGTGGTACATATTGTAGTCCCCCAAGTCTTCGATCAATAGAGTCTGTTGGCTGGAGACTTCAAATTGAATCCATGTATGGGTCGAAGTGGCGGTTGTTCGGATGCGGTATTTGTATACCCTGCACTAAAACTTTGTAGGTGAAGCTTTGCAAGTGAAGCTTTGAAGCTAGGGCTCTGTAAATGACGCTTTTGAAGTTAGAACTCTGTAAATGAAGCTTTTGAAGCTGATTGACATGAGTGATACTCATGAATGTTTATGTTGATTGACATGAGTGATGCTCATGAATGTTGTCATGAGTGATGCTCATGAATGTTAACATGAGTAATGCTCATGAATGTTGACATGAATGATGGTCATGAATGTTTATGTATGATTGTCATGAGTGATGCTCATGAATGTTTATGTATGAATGACATGAGTAATGCTCATGTATAATTTGGAGTACTGGGCGTACTTCTGATCACCTGGTTGGTGGAATGAAGGAGAGTACGAGTTGTACATTTCATCACCTGGTTGGTGGTATGAATGGCCAGTTGCCAAATGATATTAGAGTACGGGTTGTACATTTCATCACCTGGTTGGTGGTAATA